CCTTTTTTAGTAAAATTTATGTAGATTTGTTTATTGCTTTTGTTAAAAACACAAAAATTCCTCAGCTATGAATATAATAATTTATAAATATTATGAATTCTAGAAACATGAGTATCAACAAGATGATTAACAAAAAAAAACCTCAAACACTATGTAAAATTTTGTGTGTGTGTGTGTGTGTGTGTGTGTGTGTGTGTGTGTGTAAAAAAAATTTTTTCCCAGGAACATTTTGGAGGTTTATGAATGTTTTTATCATAGGCTTTTTACAATTATACTTAAATACATTATATTATTATATAATTAGTCCAAGTTATACAGCAACATGGACTTTCTATAATGTAACCCATTTTTCTACTACCAAATTAACAAGTGTGGATGCTAATATTTAGCAATTGTAAGACAGAACAAAACATTTTTAAAGTATTAGTCAAATCAGTCTTCATATACTGTATATCATATTACTGATAAGAATGGAATATTTAAATACATTTTATAAAACCATAGCTATATATAAACTTGGAGCAAAATTTCAAAACTTGGAATAAGAGAAAAATAATATAAGATTATAGATTTTATGAAGATGCACCCATTAGTAGCAAAGCAGACATACTGTAATTGGCAAAGCTAATTCTTTAAAGTTTAAACCCTTCCCACCATGATAAGTGAGATTGACACTAGAGATTTGGATGCACTAGACTAGTGGGTTTCAGAAAGAAGCTGGGCATTGCAAAATCACTAGAACTTTCAAGCAAACTGTTGCATTTCTCCGAAAATGTAGTTTTGTAATTTGAAAAGTGCTTCTGAACCTGAATTTTTGGGGGCATATTTGGGGGACAGTGATTGCCAAAATAGCATTTTGAAAATAAATGTATTCTACTCATAACCAGGAACCACATAAATACAATGTGTAGAACAGGATGATCTGTATTACTAGGAAAAACAAAACTAAATTGAATCCTGTAGGATTAAGATCATTTAGAAGTACGTGTGAAAAAAAGCAGGAAGAGATGGACAAAGATATGCGCTGAAGGAATGTGGGTTGAATACAAAAGTGAGCAACCTCTGCACTAAATATGATGAGTTTGTTAGATGCATAAAATGAATGGAGACTGAGTCACAAAACAAATATATGAAGAAAGAATGGGTGAACTAAGGAGAAAAAGACTGAAACTTGGGATTGGATGAAGTTTATCAGAACCTCAGAAAAAAGTGATAAGTACGAAAAGTGGTGGAACTCTGAATGCATTGGAATGGCAATGTTATGGAGGTACAGTAAATAGCATTTGTACAATCTAGACTTAGCTGAATTTCTATTTCATATTTATTATTTGTTCCATTTTCTGTAATTTACCAAAAGGAGTGTCCCAATGGGAATGTAATGTGTGTATAAAAGCACCAACCATTCAAAATTATGGACCAATTTTCCTCAAAAGCCAGTGAGGATATAAAAATAAATAAATTGCTGAACAGTTTAGGTCCAAAAGGACCGTCCAGGAACAGAGATATTGACAGCAAGATTGCATGTTGTGTCATTCGGAAATCAAGCCTGTAGTTGAAGAGGTTTTTATGTTATGTGTGTTTGTGTTTGAAAATAAAAAAATTATTTAATAAATAAATTGCTATTCGTTAATTAAAATTTAGATTTTGAAAATGGGTTCAATACAAATTTATTTTTGTGAAAATCAGATTGTTGCTGCTATAAATTTTTCCCCCCAAATGGAAATTAGATTAGGAGCATCTTTCTTTACTGAAATTCCTACTTTCGGGTAGCGACTCAGCTTTCCATATGCTTGTTAATCATTTTATCGAATTTAGGTAAAATAGTCTTGCATATACAGGCTCTCTACCTTTTTTTAAAAATCAAAATCCAGCAATATCTTTGTTTTTCCTACCAACGGGGCAAAATTGCAAAAAGGGAAAAAATGACAAGCCCCTATGCAAACTGTCCATCATCGCCCGCAAAAGAAAGGCGAATAAGAACTTGAGTTACGTAACCATCGGCAAAGGGAAGCGGAGCGCCGATTTCTCTCCTCAGGTCCCTGTAGAAACGCCGGAGGCGACGAACTACGCGAAAGAGCATGTCAGTGGTGCCTAGCAGGCTCCGCCTCTTGGAGTAACGTAGAGCAAAAGGGGGCGGCCCCGTAGAAAAGCATTAAGGAGAAGCCGGCGTCGGCTTTCTGGTCGTGGCCGCGCTGGCGCTGTGGCGCTCGCTGCTCTCCTGGGAGCCTCTCGGGCAGGAGGGCTGCCTGGGTCTTGGGCGAGCCCGCGCAAGGGACGGGCGCTATGCGGGGCCCGCTGCCCCTCCTCTGCCGGCGTCTTCAGAGAACTCTGGCTGCGGGAGCTCCGGGGAGGGTCAGGCTTTGCCACGAGGCTCCGGCTCCCGCAGCTTCCGGAGGGAGCAAAGGTAGAGCCCAGGTAAGAGGGGCTCGCCCGCTTTTTCTCGCCTCGGGATGCCGTGGGGGAGGGAGCGTTTTGGGAAGCCCCTTCCCCCCATCGCTCCCTTGAGTCCCCGCACATCCCCGACCCAAGTAAGCCCCGAGAGCGTTAAGGTGTAGCGGGGGTTCTTTCTTTCCGTGCTGGGGTGGCGTTTCTTTCAAACTGGAGCAGAAGGGGAGGGGAAGAAAAGCCTGGCGCCATCTGCTTTCGGAAGACCCTGCCGTACGCGGAGAAGGGGGTGGGGGGTGTTTATGTAATAAACTGAAACTTCGCGCTTTCGTGGGTCTGAATGCCGGAATTGAGGTGGGAAGGGAAGCAAACACCGAAGGACTCGCCGGTTAAGATCACTTTTCTTCTCGTTTTCATTTCACGCTTACTGCCACTTTCCCCACTTTGGAGGAAACGGGTCAGCTAGGGAAAGCAGAATTCGTTACTTTCCAGCTCTGGGTTTCTCAGAAGAGAGCTATGCCAGGGCTTCACCCCTTTTTCAAGCAGACAGCAATGGGTTTTGGGGACCCGGTTGTTTTTGGTTGTTGTTGTTACTCTTTTTGCTCAGGAGCAGCCATTCGGTTCCTGTCAAATCGGATAGGGATGATGATTGCTTCTGCTCCTGTCCGTTTTCTTTAAAACTCTGGTCCTTTCATCATGGACTGGCTGGACTTTTGATGAAGGAAAAGTCTTGAATTCCTGACCAAATACATGAGATCGCACTCCTGGGTAGTGTGAAACTTATATTTAATGAGTTCTTGAGAAGTTACACCAAACTGTTAACGTGCATGCTCTGATTTGAGTGATCAAGAATTGGTATTCCAAAATATTTGCTGTACATTCTCAGTTCATTTTAAGCGGGGTTATCTTGTTTGAAACAATTCATGCAGAGAAGAGTTTGCCTTAAATGATAAAGATTGCTAATGTTTTCTTTCTTAATCGTCCTGGTTTACAAGCATGTGCTTTTTTTTAGTCATCCCTGAGTTAACCAAACATAGGAATTCTGTGTTGTTTGCTAGCTGGAGAAAACCTTCAGGCTAGGAGTTGTAGATAAAGCTTCTTAACATTTCAAGTTTAAGCATAGTTATTTGGGCTCAAGTAACCTGTCTCAACTAGTAGCACTCTTTTTGTAATCATCACTACTGCTGTAGTTCCTTAAGCAAGGAACTGTGTACTAGGGAAAGAGTGCATAAATTATTATTACGTTTAGTTTAGAGGAGGATCAGATTCAGAGTTAACAATGTTAACTCTAAAAATTAAGATTCACAAATTAGCATTAATCTTTGCATTCATTATCAATAGCCATACATGAGAAGGGGTTAGATGGGAACAATCAGTTGATAAATGTTTGCTGCAAAAACTAGGATAATGACAAACTCAAAAGAACATGCAGAATGCAGAAATCATTTAAACCCTTTTAGAGGCAGTGGTCATTGGAAACATCTGTTTTAACATCCAAGTACCAAAATAACATGCTGCACCTCTGTTTCTGTTCTCCATGTATAGGAACACTGCAAGCTGCAAATGCTGCTTCTTTGAATCACATGATGGGGCGTGGGATTAGAATGGAACAGTGGGCAACATTAGAAGCTGCTGCCCTTCTGCTTGTCCTATAGGGAAACACTATTTTTTTCCTGCTGTCCTGATCCTCCCCATTTTTAAATTTTCTTTTTGTTTTGCCAACTTCACTATCCCACCACATTTGGTATCAGTCTGTCTTTATGGAGATGTCCTGCTGATGATCAGAGAGGATCCTAGTCCCTTTACATATCTTTTCCTAGATTATTTTGAACTCAGGGATGTTTGTTTCTTTAGAAAAAGCATAATGAAAAATACAGTAATGTTTGAAATTAGATACTACTCTCCTGTTGAAAGGCAGGCACAAATAAGAGCAAATCAACTTGGGATGCAACTTTGACATTAATGATAATGGGTTGCAATATTGTAAAAGGCATGAACTTTCAGGTTTTTCAGAAACATTTCATTGAATTATAAGTCATAATAAGATATATGAGGTGGCTATATGGTTTGCTTTTGCAATGGGTATATTTTGCAATAGCCATTTGTTCATTCAGTTTGTTTTCATGTACAAAGAATAATCCCAAAGATAAAATGTGGGATTGTGTTCATACTTGCAGCCATGTATAAATCTGAGCCATCACTATTAGCAAATTCAAGCTGACTATTTAAAAAAGAGATTGCTGGACTTGTTACAGTCTTTTATTTTCCTTTTTGATTTTACATATTTTAGCAATATGTTTCTACCTTTCAAAAGATCAAAATGTGCAGGCAACAGGGTTTTCTTTTTCTGTTGCACTGTACAGAAGTTGGACTTTGAAGAAGCAGGATGGGAAGTGTACTGAAACTTTTCAAATTTGGTGTTGGACAAAACCTGAAAATACTAAGACAACAAACCAACAGGCCATCAAACAAATCAAACCAGAGATCTCACTAATGGCAGACAAATGAGCAGACTGAAATGGTCATACTATGGACACATGCTAAAGACTTACTTATCTGGAGAAGCCAGTGATGCTGGGAAAGGGGGAAAGAAAAAGAAAAAGATGATGAATTTCATTGATAGCAATAATAAGTGTGCCATTGAAAGCCTGAAGAACCAGGTTGGGGACATATTCTCCTGGAGATAATTTATCTACAATACATGGTTTTGTTAAAAATTGATACCATCTTGATAAATAATCAATTCTACCTTTCAAACTGCTGTTTATTTTTTTTTCCCTTCAGTGCTTTGGCAAATGGAATGCAGACATTATGCCAACAGTTTCTTTCTGGTTTCTGGGCAAAGCCAAACTAAAATGACTAATAATATGTTATTACTATCTCCATATTCCTTGTGGGCAAATGTGTAGTGAAATAATGCTGTAATTGGGCATATAAGTGCCAGTATCTAACTTGGCATACATTTTTAATTCTCTAAACTAACTACTTAAACATCTAATCATATAAAATATGGTTGTGAATACAGTGGGAGGACTCAGCCTTTGTATGTAAATACAAATATTGTACACTGGAAATTATGATTTTAATGATCCTCTTGTGCCTGATGCATAGAAAGGTTTTCCAAGTAGAAGTTTTGAGTTGTTTACACTTGGTCAATTTTTGTAATTGTACAAGTATATTGTAAAACAATTGCAGTAGCACCATCTAGCAAAAATGGCAAAATAAACAAGTGCTGTCTTTCCTACATGTGAAATGGCACTTATAATAGGAAAACTACGCTATATTCCTTTGAATTGATTCATGATATATTTCATACCAATGCATATTCTACTGTCATGACTTAATTCCCACTTATACTTTTCTAGCATCTAGTATTTGTGTAGATAGCTAACACCTAAACAAATTAAAAAGCAATATAAAGAAAGGCTGCAAATAGAATCCTCAATAAAAATGTTAAATATGTGCATTGTTGGATCCAGTTTTTGAACAAGAAAAGAAGGCATTTACAGAGAGATACTGGAATTCTTTTATTCTTTATTTCAAATATTTCAAACATTGAAAACCATAAAAGCATCGTGTACTTTTATTTGTTTTATATGCTTATTCTTTTCCCTAAGACTTAGATTTGATTATATTAAAACTTAGTATATGCTCAAATTATTGCAGTATGTGAACTATTAGAAAAATCTAATATGATTCTTGTCTTAGCTATGCCATAAGCTTCCAGTGGGAACATTTGAATTATACATTCATGTTCTCTGGAACATGTATTTTCAGACATTTTAAATGTTTTTATTTTTCTCTGTGAGAGTATATTTCTTTTTTGTAAAGTAAGAGTTTTGTAAGTTAAAACAAGCCAAAACATTAATATAATCCAATCCCTAATCAGACTTACTGTATAGAAATAACAGTTTAACAAATATATCTGAGTCAAAAACGTCAGAAGTGAGTTTGGTTTTTCCAGTAGCTGAGTTGGTTTTTCCAGTAGCTAAAATTCCTCTCTACATGATCCCTTTTTCTAATCTAGTTATTTAGTTAATATCTTATGTCACATAATGGACAAGTAGTCTTGGATAGATAGTTGGAAATAACATTATCTTTCTCAATATAAAAATATTTACTTTTCTTGTCAAGTTATATTAAATAGATTAATACAGGTAAAATTGGATTTTCCAAATGTGACATGCCTATGCCCTATTGCTTCTACAAGTCAGCTGTCTGAGGCTGAGAACAACTTAAGGAACTTGGCACCTTACATTTTATAGCCTTGAGTTCATTGACATTGTATTATTACTAGATACCCAACAAAGGAGTATGGGAATTACAGCATACTATTCTTATGAAAAAAATTCCCAAATATCCACCGTGACATGCTGCTCATGAACCAAATTTTTTTAAAGTTTCAGTGCCACACTTAATTTGTAATATTAATAATTTGTAATATGGCAGTGTGTTGATGATCTTGGCATGAATATATAGAATGTACAAATGCTAAAAGGAGTTTCCTGGAATAGTAGAACTAAAATCCCAATTCTGTTATAAAGCTTACTGTATAGCCTTGAGCTGAGCATAATCCTTGGTGTAAACAGCCTCACAAGATAATACTAGCCACTTCTAGCAATTTCACATGATTGCTGTAAATATACAATGAAAGGGAGGAGGAACCATGTATTTAAATGAAGTTCCTTGAAGCAAAGAAGAGTAACACTCTATACAAACATTTTATGAATTCAAGCTACATGATGTCTGGTTAATAACAAGATTTTTCTTTCTCTTGTTTCTGTCTTCCATTTCAGCTAAGTGTACAACCTACCTTTGGCATTCTGTTTGATATTGATGGAGTATTGGTACGAGGAAGGACCCCAATTCCTGCTGCCCGAAAAGCCTTTCAAAAACTACTTAATTCTCAGGGACAACTTTTGGTGCCTGTAGTATTTGTTACTAATGCAGGAAACTGTCTGTGTCAGAAGAAAGCAGACCAACTGTCCCATCTTCTTGAAGTTCCAGTAAGTAACTTTATTCCATCTATTGAAATGCTTGTCATTTTCTTTCTTCTCTAGAGTACATGAATTGGAAATGTTGTATATTTGTTTATAGCTTAGAATTTTGCCTTCAACTGATAGAAGCAGCTTTTTAAGCTTCATTACAAATCTTGTCATTTTTTAAAATTAAAACTAGCTGATAACCTGGCATTGCTTCTGTATTTATTTATCATAATCCTGTATTAGACAGGAAATCCCCTGATTTCGACGACAATTAAATTAGTTACAAATGTTTTCCCTGTGCCCCCAGAAGCGTCAAGAAAAGTGATATCTTAATTTAACCTTAATTTGTAATGTTAGATTTTCTCCCTTACCAGAGGGAGCCCCCTTTTTGAGTACTGTGAAGCAGTTACCATGGTGACTTCACTGCGCTGCACAGTAGAAGCCATTTTATGGCAGTACAGTAGAAGCCATTGCAAGACACAACAGGCTGTATCTTAGCAGAACACACACACTGAATGGTGTTAGGACTGTCTTACCTCCATAGTATTTGTTTCCAGAGGGTAAGTAATCTGTGTACCAAGTTTGCTTGAAATTGCTGGAGGCATTCCAGAGTTATGCTGGAACACACACACACACACACACACACACACACACACACACACACACACATATATATATAAAACGGATGGATGGATGGATGGATGGATGGATGGATGGATGGATGGATAGATAGATATTGTTCTACATTTCCCATTTCTTTTGGAAGCAATTTGGGGACTGAGACTTCCAAAGCACCACAAGAGTGGCCTCCATTCTCTCAAACCTTCAGAAGCCTTTTTCCCCAAATCACTGTAACAAATGGTCATAATTCAAGTGCTATCTGTACAAGAATGAAAACAGATTATCTACTTGTCCTCTCTCCTAGATTTCCAAAGACCAAGTTATGATGTCCCACAGTCCTTTGCGAATGTTCAGGCGTTATCATGACAAATGTGTTCTTGTATCAGGACAAGGCCCGCTCCTTGACATCGCTAAGCAGTATCCTTGGAAATACTGGGTTTATTCTGCATTGGGCTGAAGATGCATGATAGGGAGATGTGCTAGTTAAGCATGTGGTGTGTATTGTTTTTGCCTCAAGATTCAAAGATACATTTTGTAGAGAAAGCAGAAAACGTCTCCCATCAACTCCATGAATTTAGGAAATCTCAAATGGGATGATACACAATGTAAAAAGATAAGACAAACTAAGAAGGGGGAGTAGATCTCCTTTGCCTCCTGACTCCTTGAATCAATTCCACTAATCCAACGTTCCTCTTTCTTTGAGTAGAGTTAAATATTTTCAAAGCAAAGTTCCTAAAAATAAGTTTGAAGCCATTTATTAGGAACTCTCATAAATGTTTCAGATTGGAATGTACTGTAAATTATAAAGGACTTAGAATATGTCTGTCTCTGCCATTTAAATTTATTATTTAGGGAATGCAAAACAAATATGCCTTTCATTAAAACATAGATGCATTGCTATCCATAACCAATATGTCATTAGTCTTGGATTTTGTCGGCCTATTACAATTGACAGGTTGCGAGAAACCTATCCCTTATTGGACATGGTAGATCATGACAGAAGACCTAAAGTTTTGGTAGGTGTACTGTACTTTATCTCTTTTTCTCTTTAATAATTCCTTTCACATATTTTACTTTGTAATTACAGTAGTCTATTGGGCTGCTAATTTGGTTGTCAAAAGTTATGCACTGTGTACACAAATGATGTATTTAAAATATCTTTCTTTGCATCATTCGTAGCACTTAAAAGATTGCACTCTTTCTTCTTAGAGTTTCTCAATATTGACTGATCCTAGAACAGATTTGATAGCAGCCAAGAGAGCAACTGAGGAAATGCTACCAATGACTAATAACACAAAGGTTCAAGTATTGTAGTAGGGAAGAGGGCAAAGAGGGCAGCAGAATTGGACTAATCCAGCTTTGTTCAGTTGAGTCTCTCCTGACATCTGGAGTTCATGTCAATTAGCTATACAGGCTTGCTTGTTTTGCAGGAAGGAGTGGTTATAGTTTGTTATTTTGGATGCAGCTGTTTTGCTCTTTCTCTGGTAAGCACATTATGACGTAGATGTTACTGGTATACCATTTTGCAGCAAACACACATGCAGCTTCAGAAAAGAGAAATCAGAGTAAAATAATTTAATTCAGTAGAGTGTTGAAAGTAATTGACCTGGTCAGCCAATTTTAGGATATAGTTTAGTTCAGGTGTCCCCAGTCTTTTCCCATGATTACTTGAAAGCATTGTCTTGAGCGAGGTTGGCAAAGTTTGCTTGCCAGGCAAAACAACTGAAGTTACCCATAGCCTTTCATGTGATATTCCATAATCCCCAATCAGCCTCCTCATACTTATAGACTGTAAATTTTAACTGTGAAGATGAAATTCAGCTTATGTCATTGAATGTGTATGTTATAAAAACATTAAAAATTGAATACAGAAGAATGCATGGATGTGGTTTTCATTTCATCTTGACATCTGTGATATTGTGCTGTTGAACATAATGCAACTTCTACAGATCAAATGAGCTGCAATTTAATATGTGAAAATGACATGAGGTTAATAGTATAGTTAATAGTTCAGATGATCACAGGTGTACAGTCAGAAGAATGGAGGAAGAAGTTCTGGTGGCATATTGAATTAGGGCTAAGAAGATAAGTGATATGTTAGAGAGGATTCTGTGTTATAAACACAGAAGACATTTCTAAGACACATTGACAATTATATGGACTTCTTTTACAGCAAGATTCAAGATCTAAGACACAAGTGTGCAAGTTATATAAATGGGAAGTATCTCCTTATATTTGTGATGACTGATTTTAATTTTAGAGGTGCTGGGAATTTAATCAGAACATGGTCTGTGCCCATAATGTTGAGGGGTTTGTTTACTTTGTTTCTTCTTTGTGCTAATAAAGGATACTTTTCTTAGTAAATATAATTTGTTTTTAATTTGTAGCACTTACCCACAGTGGAATTCCCCAAGATTGAAGGTCAGTATGTCTAGATGTTTATGTTTAATTCTGAAATTTACTCCCAAGTAAAATGGACTGCTTTGTGATAGCTCTGAAAGCATTTTGCTAATTTTTGCTAGCTGCTGTGATACATCTGAATAAGAATGTGACAGTCATAATAAACAATATATACATCATTTTACAATGGTACTGACAGTTTGTTCATTTTTATTTGTTTCTTTGATTTTTCTACCATCTACATTATAAATCTACCATTAATGTTAAGCTGTAAAGTTTCTAGTTCTTTACCAAACCTCATTCTTACAGTTTCAATTTCATATGAGATTTAAAAACTAATGGAAAAAGCTAGTAATGTGAATTTTAAAGTAGCATCATAATTATTATTCTGTGCTAATTCATGTTACAGATGTTGTTTGTAATTATATTCCACTGGCAATTTACATTTTAAAAAAATGGTTTTTGTACAGTTTGATTTTTTTCTTGTGTTTTTTCTCTATTTCTAAAAAGAAAAAGAACATTAAATACAAAGTAATTATTTTTTTAAAAAATATCAGTGCACACACACCAATGTAATGTTACCCCAAGTGGTTTTTGTGATACTTTTAAAAAAAATCTGCATTTTAAGATGTGCTAATTTTTATGTATTTATTTGCTGCTAAATTTTGATGGCATGATCACAGCAGCCTTTATGAGCTGATTAAAAATAAATTCAATGATTAAATGCAATCGATTCAATGATTAAATGCAGCCCAGGCCCATGGTTTGCCTATTCTTGTTATAGTGTACATGAACTAGTGTGCATGAAGTAACAAAGTGTGTTGGTTATTTTGCATTAAGAAATAGCTTATAATCACCCACATGTAACACATTGATATTGTGCTTATCTTACAGCAGTTATTTTGTTTGGTGAGCCAGTGAGGTGGGAAACCAACTTACAATTGATAATAGATGTTCTTTTGACAAGTGGCTATCCTGGAAATCCTTATGAACGAACATATCCACATATTCCTGTATTGGCTTGTAATATGGACTTGATGTGGGCAGCTGAAGCTCAATCCCCAAGGTAAGGCAAAGATGCTAGTTCTGGGGGTATTTTTCTTTAGGTTCTAACATAGATTCTCAACTACTACCATAGTCAAAGATATGTCATGTCATAATTGTGTGATCAGAGACAGAATTGGTGATTGTTCAATGAATATATCCAAAGCTTGAATTAATATTTGGATAGTGACAACATCTTCCCTCTCATTTAAAATGCACTTATTGCTTTGTCAGCCACCTGGAAGAATGTAGAAATCCATTTTATATGTATAATGCCATTTTGGCATTTCCAATGATAACCGATGCTTGGGATACCATTCTGATAAATCCTGAAAGAAAAAGAAAAAGAGAGGCCTCTCATAAGAACAGCAATTCTATGGGAAAAAGCTTGGCTGGAAATACTACTTTGAGATGCATTACAAGTATCATTGAAAACACAAGAATTCTAGTTTTTGTGTGCAGGTATACATAGAATAAAGTTAATTGTTTTATTTATAGTACATGAATATCTCAGTTTGTCAAACCTAATTGAATTGCCAATTAGACTACTGTTGTAATAGTTGACTGCTACTACATATAGTATATGTAACTTCTGCTTCTGAGTTAATGTCTTTTTCTCTTGAAATTAAACTGTTATTTTTCTCTGATTCTAACCATAGCATTGGTGGGGTTTTTTTTGTGGTCCTGCCCAAAGCATCAAGATAATATTCTCACAGTAAACTTAATTAATTCAGCCTTATAAACGTTTTGGGGAGGCTATCTTGCCCAGATGGGGTTTTTTTTCTACATCATTAAAATGTTTTGGCATGTTTCTTCAACTTTTAAGTAACTGCCAAGAATAATGTAGGCAGAAGAAAAAGTGAGTCAAAACAATCTTGCCTTATAATTCGCAGAGGAGAAGCTAAGGATTTGGATAAATAGTATATATAAAATTCTTCCTTTTAATGTAATACATTACTTTTATCCTAGCCAAATTTTGTTTCTGTGTTTCAGGTTTGGGCATGGAACGTTTATGGTTTGTTTGGAAAATATTTATAAGAAGATCACTGGCAAAGAATTGAAATATGAAGCATTGATGGGAAAGCCTAGTGAAGTCACATATCACTATGCAGAGTACCTCATTAGGACTCAAGCATCTGCAAAGCAGTGGAAGAGCCCTGTTCAAACGTTGTATGCCATTGGGTAGGACAGTGTTTTTCAACCTTTTTTGTGCAAAGGCACACTTTTTTCATGAAAAAA